TGACATTGGGAGAAAATGAACTTAGATTTGTCATTTTAAAACTACTAACAAATTGATAAATGTTGTTGAAGACCACTGACCTGACCTGTTTGTAGATTGATGAAACCTGGTGTAAAATTGAGGATGTCCATATAATCACTCTTTTATACAGTTTCACCATTCAGTTAGACTATATAAATTCAGTCTACATTTTTTAACTGCTACCAGGGGAATACAAAAGTTAATTGGGTGAAGTCTCTACCCTCAAGAAGCTCAAAGTTTTGTGAGGAGGAAATCAGGTAAGGCTAAAGTTGTAATACTGGCTAGAGCATGGAATCATGGAAGAGCTGTTAGAAGGTGTTCACTGCCTGGTGCTGAAGAAGGTTCCCAGACAATGTGCTGGTTGAACTGGGTCTTGAAGATGAAATAAGAATCTGTCACCATCAGAGAGCCTTTGAGCTGTTCCAAATACTGAGAAGAGGCCAGAGGAAGATAAGAAATGGAAATTAAAAATGTAGACTAATTGAGACAAAGGCCTGACATCTAATGATGGGCATCATTTAACTCAGTTATGATCATCTGATTGGACCAAAATTGTAATCACTCCAACTCAGTCATTCCAAAAACTGAAAACTTTTGTCTCACTTTTTATAATTTTTATGAGATAAATGTATCCTTATCCCGAAGAATAGAGGAAGGAAATCTCATAAAGCACTTTCAAACTTACGGAAATAATTCTAAGAGAAAGTCAATAAGCCTTACTCTACCAATAAATAAGGAACAAATAAATGGCATGCAATTCAGAAGGGAAGTCTAGGTGACTACTGGGAGCATTTGGTTCATTTGAAATTTTTTCCTTGCACTCTGTGACGCAGAAGTTTTTTTTTTTTTCTTCCCAAGGAAAAATCATAAACTTGTTTGAAATTGAGGAAGGGGCAATAGAGAAAAAGCAATTCTTACCTGTAGAAATAAAAATAAACAGATTGAATATGACTAAAATAATGGTCCTTAAATTCATCTGACTGAAGACACAGTTCAAATCGGACTGTATGAGGTAGAGATTTTTATGTCTTCAGTTTCTGTAAAGTCACTGTCCCATTTGGTAACCATTTACTAAACACCTTTTATAGTAGACATTCTTCAGAGTTGTGAAGAATGAATATGAGTAAAATATAGCTTTTGACCTCAGAGCTTATAAGAAAAATATTTCTATAGCTTCTAATATCTCCTGTTTCATCTTCCATATTTCCATCTAAACCAAAAAGCTTTCTGTTCCTGAAGTAATTTTTTATGCTATCTGTAATCCAGTACTTCATCTTCTTCAACCCTAGGCCTTGCCACTATCCCCCTCTCTACACCAGAGCACTTCCAACAGCCAAACTGTGCTCCAACCTGAAGAGGACTTACTCTTTTATTTGTTTCTGTGGAAGAAAGCCACAGGAAGATCTTAGTTATATGAATTGGACAGCCATAACACCTCCGTCTGTCCAAATGGGACTAGGCAGAAATAAGGCAGTGAGCAAGAAGACACACACCCAATGAGGCAATCTTAGGAGAAGCCAGAAGAGGCCACACCTTATTCCTGGTCTCTGTGGAAATGACATTTCCTTCCTTTGGCATTCCTTTCTTCCTCTGCTGAGAAAGTCTGAGACTGCTAGAAGTGCTTTCTCCAGTAAGTCTGAAATTTGCATGAAGAAGAGTCCCCAAAATATCCTATTACCTTTGATAAAGGAGCTCTGGTGGTGTAGTGCCTAACGCATTTGACTGCTAACCAGAAGGCTGGTGGTTCAAACCCACCAGCCACTCCTTGGAAGGAAGGGGGCAGTCTACTTCTGTAGTGATACTGCCTCAGAAACCCAAGGAGGGATCACTATGAGTAGGGTCTGACACGACAGCACATAACAATAACAACAACATAATGCATATTTGGAAGCTCTGGTGGCATAGTGCCTAAGGCATTTGAGTGCTAACCAGAAGGCTGGTGGTTCAAACCCACCAGCCACTCCTCAGAAGGAAGATTAGGCAATCTACTTCCATAGTGATACTGCCTCGGAAACCCAAGGAGGGATTATGAGTCAGATCCAACTCCGTGGCAGTGAGTTTTGTATTTTTTTTTTGGTTTGCCTTTGACAAAGCAAACTTGCCTAAAAATATAAGATCTCTTGATTGATAGTGACCTTTCCTTCATTCTTCCATTTTAACATCTATATAGACAAAGGTCTTATTTTCTAGAATTCTTTTATCAGATTTATATTATAGGCTTTCAGAATATACAACTAAAAGTATGTAAGGAAATCTGATACCCTGAGAGCAGTCTTTTAAAATTATAGGTAATTTAGGTAATTTGTTCTACACATCTATTCACAAAGTTGTGATTTAA